AGAACCAGAGCTGAGGCTCACAGAGTGAAAACAGATAAGGAGAACAGCCAGTGTATAGTCTAAGCGACTTTTTTAAATGGAGGAGCCGTTTTGGAAGCGTGAGAAGCAAACAGTGTTTTGAGGATTGTCTGGGTGGAAGGGCAGGACCGGGTGGTGTGGCCGCCCCTTGACCCGTAGCTGCTGGTCCTGGAGCGTGGTGAGTGTGCTCACGGGTCCTGCTGGGGCTCTAGCCCGGCCCGTTTCCGCTTCTGCCGCTGGGGCTTGCCTGGCTGGATTCCTTAACGCACACACACCTGAACCTGCAGACCAAGCCCGTGGACCCGACTGTGGAGGGGGGTGCGCAGGTGCAGCAGGTGGTCAACATAGAGTGCGTGTCCGACTTCACGGAGGCGCCAGTCCTCAACATTCAGTTCAGGTAAGAGCCATCTGTGCGCCCCGGGCCAAGGATTGTGTGGGCGCCTGAGCTGTGTGCCTGGGCTCCATGGCTGTGCCCCCATGTCCTTCCTGAGGGGACCCAGGGCATGCGGGTACTCATGGTGCATGGATGCGACCTGAGCTGTTGCTGCCCTCAGCTCTGCAGAGCGCAGGAAACAAGGGGAGGTGAAACCCTGGGCTGTGGGATGGCAGGTGGCAGCTCCCACATGGGGCCTTGCTAGGATCTTTCTGGGCACAACGGAGGCTACCTCATGGGGTAGCAGACAGCCAGGGCCACGTGCCACCTGCTCGGCTTGGTACCAGACAATAGCTGCGAGGTGAAGGCGGCTGGCTTCCTTCGGACCCTGGCCTGAGGGGTGCGTTTTTTGCACAGTTGGACTCAGATCATACCACTTTGCTTATTTTTTAAAAGCATGAGATTTTCCTGTTGCAACTGTTGATTACTCTCACTTTCATTGGCTACAACAGCGTGTACACAGTCAGCGCATACCCTGCTGGGTGTCTGCAAGGTTATGAATGTTGAGAAAAGCACTCTTTCTAACATTAAAAATACAGAGAACTTAAGGATTGTATACCGTAGAATTTGGGGACATAGACATGCAAATTTTTGTTTCATTCTTTGTGCAAATGCCTTTGCCTTTTTAAAGAAAAAAAAAATCACACAGTTTGCACAGACTTGGAGTTCTGAGAAACAGATAAATGGGGAGAAGTGAGGCACAGGGGCGTCTTGCCTGTGTACGCGGCCCTGGCCTATCCTGTCTGTGGGTGACACTGTACACTGAGCCACACATGATCTGTGGAGACTCAAGGCTTGGCTCCCCACGCTCTGGTGGGTGTCGGTAGGTGGGGACGCTTCTCACTCCAGGCTCTTTTCCGGCCCCTGGGGCTCTCAGAGGAGGAGCTGACTGTCTCTTTCTGCTGCTGCTACTGGCAGGTATGGGGGCACCTTCCAGAACGTGTCTGTGCAGCTGCCCATCACTCTCAACAAATTCTTCCAGCCGACAGAAATGGCTTCTCAGGATTTCTTTCAACGTTGGAAGCAGTTGAGCAAGTGAGAAACCTGTTGTCCTGTAGGGGTCGGGGGTGGGGATGGGGGTCATTTGAAAAGATGGGCTTTGGTCTCTGGCCTGGCTGAGAAACTCGCCTTTGCTGTTTCTCACAGTCCACAGCAGGAGGTGCAGAACATCTTCAAAGCAAAGCACCCAATGGACACAGAAGTCACCAAAGCCAAGGTAGGGCATCTGGAGGGACGGCCCCGGGGACACGCTGCCTGCAACCCAGCGCCAGGGTCTGGAGGGACGGCCCCGGGGGACGCGCTGTCTGTGACCCAGCGCCAGGGTCTGGAGGGACGGCCCCGGGGAATGCGCTGCCTGCAACCCAGCGCCAGGGTCTGGAGGGCCATTGCCCGCGACCCAGCGCCAGGGTCTGGAGGGACGGCCCCGGGGGACGCGCTACCCGCGACCCAGCGCCAGGGTCTGGAGGGATGGCCCTGGACGTGCTGCCCCGCAACCCAGCGCCGGGGTCTGGAGGGATGGCCCTGGACGTGCTGCCTGTGACCCAGCGCCAGGATCATCATTCTCCTGTTTCTTTGGACAGATCATTGGATTTGGTTCTGCACTTCTTGAAGAAGTTGATCCTAATCCTGCGAATTTCGTGGGAGCTGGAATCATCCACACGAAAACCACCCAGATCGGATGCCTGCTACGCCTGGAGCCGAACCTGCAAGCCCAGGTCAGGCCCTCAGGAAATGGCTGAACACACTTGAGTTGCTTTTTATTCTGGCACAATGTACATGGTGAGATGTGTAGCTCTTTAGTGCAGTTCGGTCAGTTTTGATAGATGTTGTGTGCCCGTTTCACCACCACCCTGTCAGTACATGGTTGCATCCCAGTCTCCCCACAGCTGGCCACCTGGAGCATCGTCCCGCCACAGAGCAGCCTGGCCCTGGGCAGTGGCTCTCCCAGCTGTTCCTCTCTGTCACCACGTTGTTCCTTCTCGCCACGTCCCATTCTGTCGATGGACACCTGTCTCCATTTCACTCGGGCGGCACCCAGGAATGCCGCTGCTGCCCAGGGCCTGTGTGTGGTTAGCGCTACAAGAAGCTGTACCACTTCACACTCCCGCCAGCTACGTACGAGGCGCCAGGCGCTCCCGTGCCAGCCCTCAGTTTTCATGCTGGCAGTGTGTGTGGTGCTCAAGCCTCTGCCGAGCTGTGGGTGCCTCCAGAGCGCGGTCCCTGGGCGTGGCCCACAGGGTTCTGCATGGCGGGTCCTGGACCCGAGGGCTGTGTGAGCCTTGGCATGCCCACTGACCCGCTGCACTCTCCGTTTCAGATGTACCGGCTCACGCTGCGGACGAGTAAGGAAGCCGTTTCTCAGAGATTATGTGAATTGCTGTCCGCGCAGTTTTAGTCTTGAGGATGGAAGACCAGGCTCGTGTGTCTTGCGTTGTCTTCGTCTGTGCCGTTTGTCTTCGTGGCCGTCCTGCAGATGAGCACCCCTGCTGCCCCAGACCTCTCCCCTTTGGGCTGGACAGGAACACACGTGTGTGGCTCAGGAAGAAAAGCTCAGCCTGGACTGCGGCAGCCACGGCAGAAGGTGGATCTTGGGATCAGTTTTTATAAAAATCAAGACAGTTCTGTGGTTGAATCTACAAATTAAAGGGAAATTAGAAGTTGGCGTGAACGTGGCGTTTGTGGGAGTGTCACTGAGATGGCCCGTGCTGCTGCCCACCCCGCCTCGGAGCCTCTGGGAGCAGCAGTGCCACTACATGTGGCGTGGGCTGAGCCTTGGTGTGTGGCTGTTCTGGTGGCTGCACACCTGGCATCGTCCTGGGCCCTTGGGAGGAGCACGGCCGCCCCTGGTTTTGCTGCAGTCCCAGCTGGACAGTTTTCCCAGGCAGGATTTTAATCTGGACTTTAGAAGCATTTGTATTTGTAATGACTTCTGGCAAAACCACGTGTCCTGGCTGGATGTAATTGTTTTCCCAGCTCCTGTTTGTGGAGGGCGTCTGTTTTGCTCCTGCAGTCCCCGAGGCCTTAGATGTGCAGCCAGGGAAGGAGCGTCCTGCTGGCCCCGTGGGGCCCCCAGGACTCCGGGGTAAAGCGTGGGCTGGTGGCGCAGACTCAGGTGTGCTCGTCTCTCTCCTGCCAAGAGTGGGTGTCCCCAGGCCACGGTGCAGGCTTGAATGCTTCCACTGGCCCTGTGCAGTCATCCCTGGAGGGGCTGTGGAGGAGGGAAGCCTCTGTCGTCAGGAAGTGAAGGGGCCATGGGCCACACACTGTGCCACCTGCGGCTTGTGTCTCACCTGTCGTCTGGACTCAGCACCCAGGCTGCACGTCTGACACCTGAGAGGCGAGAGAGTGGGGCTGGCCTAGGAGCCAAGGCTGGGGCCCTGTGCTCTGTCCCCAGGACGGTGGCCTTGTTTATCCTAAACACACCCAGCACGGGTTCCGGCTTCCTGACATGCCGTGGAGGCAGGGAGGGTGGGTGGCCACATGTGCTTGAGCCTGGCCCTCAGCCACCTGCTCCACGGGTCCCTGGGGCAGCTGCGGGAGCTCATGGACCCATCAGGTCTCCACAGCTCCCCTGCAGTGTGTGCAGCCCACAATGTCTGTGGCTCTCCTTCCAGCGTGTCGGACTTTGATCACAGGATAGCCATGTCGGTGGCGTGCACCTCTTGCAGTGGCCATTCTGGGTCTGGCGGTGCCAGGTGTCATGACATGCCGCCCTGGGCTTGTGCTGCAGCTGGGTGGTGTGGCCCTCATTCTTGTGTTCCAGCTGCTGGGCAGTGCTCTGCCCGTGTGCTGCGCCTGCCGGCTGCGTGTGCTGCCGTGGATCTCCTGCGTCCCTTGACCCCTCCCGCCATCAGAGGAAAGGCGCCGCTTCTTCCCTGTGTGGCTGCAGAGGGGCCCTCAGTGTGGCACTCCTCGTCAAAGAAAAATAAAGGCTAGAACAGCACCCCAGATCGTGCGCTTTCTTTGGGGGGAAAGCATCCCACGGAACCCTCAGCTCCCCGGGGGCCGTGTGAGGCACAGACCCCAAAGTCCCTGGCCTGTCCTTCGGCATGTGGGCTCACAGGCAGTGGGCATCAGAAAGTGACCTGCCCTTTGCTCTGCCAGTTTGATTCTGGGCGTGTGGTGGAATTTTTTGGGACTCAGGTCACGCGGGAACCCCTCCAGCCTGGCCCCGGGGCTCCCCGCTGTACAGTGTGTTGGGGTGCACCCCAGGGCTCCCTCCTGGGGAACAGGCCAAACCACGTGGGTATGAGGAGGCTCCGTGGGGGATCCTCCTGTTGATCTGACAATAGAAGGGGCTCTCGGGCAGATGGGGGTGGCCCCTGGAGGACGGTGGGCTTCGCCAGAGATGGGACAGTCCTGGTGGAGGGAGGGCAGGGGCCCAAGGCCAGAGGCAGCTTCTTTTCCCAGCCCAGACCGTCCTGGGGGCAGCCCCGCCCAACCTCAGATCCCAGGGGCCCACAGGGTGCAGGTGTGGGCCGGGTGCCTAACGTCTAAGGGACTGGGGAGAGGCAAAAGCAGGGCTCAAGTGCTTAGGGACCAGCCTCTGTGCCTTGACAAGAACCAGTTTATTTGGAGTCTCTGGCCGGGTGACGCCGTCTCCCGAGGACAAGCTGCTGGGGACAGGTGTGGTGCTGGCGGGAGCCTTCTGCCTGGCTGGGAGCGGGGGTGGCTGCCCTGCCCTCGCTGCCACCCTCTGCCCTCCCTGACTCTGGGGAGCTCCTCTTCTCTGTGTCGGTGACTGCCTGGACCTCTTGCCCCCATCTCGGCACAGGTCCTGACGGGTCTGGTCCAGCGCCTGCTCTGGCCTCATCTGCAGGGTTCTGGGCCCAGCAGGGCTGGGGCCAAGTTCAAGGGCTGGGAGGTGTTGGATGGCAGACGGGTGGTTGGGAGTGCCCTGTGTGCCTGGGAGGGTGCGTGGCCACTGCCCGCCTCAGTCCCTCTCTGCTGGCTCAGGGTCTGCAGGGGTGTGGTGGTCTGGGCCTCTGCTTGGCAGCCCCTCTCCCACCGGTGCCCCAGGTGAGCCACGGCCGGGGGCACTTGGGGGCCAGGCCTGGTGACCAGGAAAGCAGCTGCCGGCACAAGTGGGAAGCGGGCTGGCGGGTGTTTGTCCTGTCTGTCATCTGCAGTCCTTCAGCCCCAGGAGAGCAGGCAGCGACCCTGCTAGTTTCCACAGGCCACAGAGCTGCACTCGCAGCGGCTGAACACCTGCAGGGTGAGTACGAGCTGCCGGCCAGGCGCGCTGGGGTCTGGGCAGGGCAGCTCCACCTGCTGCTCATAGGATTGGAGGGGGCGGCAGCAGCCGCAGTGGGCGTCCACCTGCTGGGTGATGGTGTTGTAACTGCCGAGAAGCCAAGACAGAGCAGGGTCATGGTTGCTGTAGGGGCATAAGGCCCCTCCCTCCCCAGGGCAGCTGCTCCACAGAGTCCTGGACCTCCCCGCTGAGCTCCCGGCTCCCAGGGGCCAAGGCCGGTGTTGGGCAGATGGAGCGCAGAGTGGCTAACCTGACGGGGCAGCAAGTGTCTGGGTGGGGAGCCCGAACCTGCCCTGGCGCCTCTCTGGGGTGGGGTTGTGAGCACCTTGCTGGACGTGGGGCAGGCCTCCCGCCTGTGGACTCACCTGGCGGCAGAAATGCAGGTGCCCTCACAGCGGGTTACCGTCACGTTCGCCGTGCATCCCTTGAACGTGATCTCCTCCTGCTGCTCCTGCACGCTGCAGACCCCTGGGAGCCGAGTGGACGGTCAGCAGCGCTCAGGGTGGACATGGAGCGAGGAGGGAGGGAAGCCCTGGCTAGAGACCGGGGTCCCCACCTGTCTCTGGACTCTCCTGCCCAAGGTGTGGTCTTCCTTTGTGGAGCCCCACAGAGCTCAGACCTCAGCCATACCCAAAGGCAAAGGCCAGCAGCATCCTAGTTTGTTTTTTCCCCTCAAAGTCGCTCTGCTGGAGTCCATCAAGGTAGAGAATTTTCTCAGTGGACTCAGCAGATACTGAGCCCTGAGCCTGTGTGAGCCACCCCTGAGCCCCAGCTTCCCTGATACCCCACCCCAGGCCTCGACACCGACCTGTGGGCATGGGTATCTCTGGTTGGCCGGACCCGGGACCTGCAGGGGGGCCGAGGACACTGTGTCAGTGACGCCAGAGGGGGACAAGTGGTGTCGTGGAAGTTCCATGTGCCCCAGCTGGGGAGGAGGGAACTGGAGCAGGCCCTGTGGTCTGGGCTTCTGGAAGGGGCGGGGTAGGGACCCGTGTGGAAGGCCCAGACAGCCAGCCTCAGTGAGAGGCCTGGGCACGTGGCAGGCAGCACGGAGCAGGGTGGACTGATGCAGGCAGTGGCAGCATCAGCATTAGAAACCGCCACTGCGGAGTGTGGGTTAAAGTGGAAAAGGAGTCCTGGGGTAAAGGCTGGACTCTGCTGCCTGTGTGCCCTCCCCTGGCTGTGCCCAGCTTCATTTCCTGGCCACAGAGAAGACAGGTCGCCTGGAACCTACCTGCCCGCTGCAGGGAGCTTTCTCCAGGAGGGGGCAGGACTATGTGTGCCTCCACAGGCCCTGCTGTCCCCAGCTGCCCTCTCCTCCCAGATGGTTCCTGCTCCCTCACCTCTGCTGCTTGGGGTCACCTCCCCGGTTACAGCTTGCACCCAAGTCCTGGTCTCAGGGAGGGACCCAAACCAAGATTCCCTCAGCCTGCAGCAACGAGCTGCTACCCACGTGAGAGACCACGAAGCCAACCGTGGCGTTGCCACCTGGTGGAGGTCGATGCATGCGAGGGACCCAGTCCCTGGGTGGTTGCTGTGAGAGAAACACCCAGGAGGGAAGTGAGGGACATCCCTGGAACGTGAGGTTAGTTGGACGTGGACGAGGCCTGAGGTGTGTTCTGTCTCCAGGCATCCCATGGCCTGGGGAGCAGTGGAGTCGCTCATAGGCATGAGACCAAGTGGAGGCCGGGAAGAGCCGTGGCCCAGAGAATTGGCATGAGTACCAAGGAGCAGGCGCCCTGGTTGCCAGGTCCAGCTTCACCTTCAACAGGTCCTTCGGGGCGAGGCAGGGGCTGTGCCGGACCTTTATGTCTCTTTCTGCACTTGGAGGAAGGGCTGTGCTGCTTGAACCCCGGGGTCCAGCCAGCCCTGACATCCTCTGAGCACCCAGAGGGGCAGCCGGGGAAGGCTTTTGGCAGGTATCACTCTGAGGGGAGGCCAGGAGTGCAGCAGTGACCGGGGCAGGAGTGAGCCAGTGCAGGGAAAGGTCAAGGTTAGCTGGGGAAAGGCCAACGGGGAGGCCGGACACTTGCTTGGCCAAGAAAGCGTTGGCATAGAGGGTGCCCAAGAGAGGAGAAGGGAAAAACCCATCAGGCGTGTAGGGAAGGTGGGGAACAGGCATGTGGTCCTGGGATCATAGGACCATGAGGGGTAAACTGAGGCAGTGGCTGCCTGGGAGTCACGAGCACAGAGGTGAGGCCAGCAGGAGGGCCACAGAGATGCCACTTACCAGGTGAGGTGGGCGTAGGTGTCCCGAGAGAAGATACCGGGGCAGAAGCAGGGGCGCTTCCATGCGCAGTGAGGGAGCTGGTCAGGAACTGCGTGGTAGGCAGTGAGGTGGGACCAGGGTGCCTGGTGGTAAGGTTGGTGAGTGGAGAGCTAGGGATACCCGTCACCCCCGAGGTGAGTGACACAAAGCCTGACGTAGGAACTCGGGTGGTGAGAGAAGTGGACCGTGAGGTGGTGGACTGAGAGGAGAAGGCAGGGGCGGTGTAGGTGCTGGCCGTGGTCCTGGGCGTGGACGGAAATGCAGCGGTGCTGGAGGCTTGGTGACTGGATGGGGTGGGAGACACAGTAAGAGTGGATATGGGGAGTAGAGCAGAGGGGGTGAAAGGAGAGGAGATAGTGTGGGGGAGAGAGGCCCTAATGGTGGTAGAGGCAGCTGGAGAAGAAGGAAAAAGAGGAGATGCAGACCCTGATGCAGTCGTGGGATGAGTGAAGAACGAGGAGTGTGAGCTCGAGCTCAGGGTTGTGGAGTGCACGGGGGTGGACACGACAGAGGAAGATGTACCAGCTGAAGATGAAGTTTGGGGAGAGGAGTGGGAGGAGGGTACATGAGAAGAAACAGAAGACTGGGCAGAAGGAGTGGGAGAAAATGAGGAGGAGAGCTGATTAGTTGTAGAAACAGGAGTGGTTGCAGAACTCAAGTGGGGGAGTTGTGTGGTGGCAGAAGGTGGTGACGGTGGCCTTGAGCTAGAGTTCGGGGGCTGCCACGAGGAGGAGGATATGAAGGAATAAGAGGCTGTGGTTGTGCTGAATGAGCTGTGGGCTTGGCTGGTCCCGCTGGTAGTCACTGTCATTGGTGGGGCTGTGTGGGTGGACCCTGTGGCCTTGACCGTTGTTGGTGGAGAAATGGTGCCTGTTGGCATTGAAGGGATGGAGGAGAAAGTGGACATCTGTGGGTGGATAGGGGTGATGACTATGTGAGTAGTTGGAGTCACCAAGGAGGTGGAGAAAGGTGGAACGTGAGTGGGAAGTGTGGTCTGAGGGTGTGATGGGGTTGGATAGGTAGTGGTGGTCTGGAAGGATGTTGCAGTCATAGGACCTGTGGAAGAGAGCGGGACTGCTCTCTCTGTAGGTGGGGAGTGTGTGGTAGAAGGTTGTGGGTAGCCTGCTGCTGGTGGCCAGGTGGTGGCATGGGCCACAGGGTGCCGGTTCCTGTAGTGGTGGGGTTGGGGATGATGGTGGTAGAAGTTGGGGTGACTTCAGGATGGTGTGTGGAGGAAGAGTGTGAATGTAGGGATGTAGAGGTTTTGGCTGTGCTGAATGAGCTCAGAGCAGCTGGTCCCACTGGTGGTTGCCGTCATTGGTGGGAGGCTGTGTGGGTGGACCCTGTGGCCTTGACTGTTGTAGGTGACTGGTGCTGTTGGCATTGAATGGATGGAGGCAGAAGTGGACATCTGTGTTTGGGTAGGTGTGATGACTGTGTGAGTAGTTGGAGTCACCAAGGAGGTGGAGAAAGGTGGAACGTGAGTAGGAAGTGTGGTCTGAGGGTGTGATGGGGTTGGATAGGTAGTGGTGATCTTGAAGGATGTTGCAGTGATAGGACCTGTGGAAGAGACGGGACTACTCTCTGTAGGTGGGGAGTGTGTGGTGAAAGTTGTGGGTAGCTTGCTGCTGGTGGCGAGGTGGTGGGGCCACAGGGTGCTGGTTCCTGTAGTGGTGGAGTTCAAGGGGTGATGGTGGTAGAAGTTGGGGTGACTTGAGGATGGTGTGTGGAGGAAGTGTGTGAATGTAGGGATGTAGAGGTTTTGGCTGTATGATTAAACTGTGGGCTTGGCTGGTCCCACTGGTGGTTGCCGATTATTGGTGGGGCTGTGGGTAGACCCTGTGGCACTGACTGTTGTCGGTGGAAGATAGTGCCTGTTAGCGTTAGTGGATGGGGTAAGTGAGACATCTGTGCATGGAGTAGGGTGATGACTGTGTGAGTAGTTGGAGTCACCAGGAGGTGGAGAAAGGTGGGCGTGAGTGAAAGTGGTCTGGTGTGATTGGAGTTGGATAGGTGAGTGGTGAGGTCGCAGAAAAAGATGTTGCAGTCATAGGACCTGTGGAAGAGGCAGTACTGCTCCCGTAGAAGTGGGGAGTGTGGTGGTGTGGGTAGCCTGCTGCTGGTGGCCGAGGTGGTGTGGCCCCAGGGTTCCAGTGCCTGTACTGGTGGGATTAAGGAGTGTCATTAATTGGTAGAAGTTGGGGTGACTTCAGGATGGTGTGTGGAAGAAGTGTGTGAATGTAGGGGTGTAGAGGTTTTGGTTGTGCTGAATGAGCTGTGGTGTAAACAACTACACTGGTGGTTACCGTCATTGGTAGGGCTGCGTAGGTGAGACCTGACCTTGACTGTTTATCGGTGGAGAATGTGCCTGTTGGCACTGAGTGGATGGAGGAGAAGTGGACATCTGCACGTGGGTAGGAGTGATGACAGTGTGAGTAGTTGGAGTCACCAAGGAGGTGGAGAAAGATGGACCGTGAGTGGGAAGTGTGGTCTGAGGGTGTGATGAAGTTAGATGGAAGTGGTGAATTGTCTGGAAGGATGTTGCAGTCATAGGACCTGCGGAAGAGATGGGACTACTCTCTGTTGGTGGGGAGTGTGTGGTGAAGGTTGTGGGTAGCCTGCTGCTGGTGGCGAGGTGGTCAGCAGTTACAGGGGTGCTGGTTCCTGTACTGGTAAGTTGGGGTGATGGTGGTAGAAGTTGGGGTAACTTCAGGATGGTGTGTGGAGGAAGTGTGTGTGAGGTCTTAAGAGTGTAGAGGTTTTGGCTGTGCTGAATGAGCCAATGTAGCTGGTCCACTGGTGGTGGCTGTCGTGGTGAGGCTGTGTGAGTGGACCCTGGCATGACCGTTGTCGGTGGAGAATAGTGCCTGTTAGCGTTAGTGGATGAAGTAGAAGTAGACATCTGTGTAGGTAGAGTGATGGCTATGTGGTAGTTGGAGTCACCCAAGGAGGTGGAGAAAAGAGTGGAACGTGAAGTGGGAAGTGTAGTCTGGTGTGATGGGGTTGGATAGGTAATTGTGGTCTTGAATGATGTTGCAGTCATTGTACCTGTGGAAAGGCGAAGTGCTCCCTGTAGCTGGGGAGTGTGTGGTGAAGGGTGTAGGTGGCTGCAGCTGCTGGGTGACTGAGGTGGGTGGCTGGGCCACAGGGGTGCAGTTCCTGTACTGGTGGGATTAGGAGACGATGATGGTAGAAGTTAGGAGTGACTTCAGGATGGTGTGTGGAGGAAGTGTGAATGTAGGGGTGTAGAGGTTTTGGCTTGTGCTGAATGAGCTGTGGGCTTGGCTCTTCCCACTGGTGGTTACCTCATTGGTGAGGCTGTGTGGGTGGACCCTGTGATCTTGACCGTTGTCGGTGGAGGAATGGTGCCTATTGGCACTGAGTGGATGGATGTAGAAGTGGACATCTGTGCATGGGTAGAGGTGATGACAGTGTGAGTAGTTGGAGTCACCAAGGAGGTGGAGAAAGGTGGAATGTGAGTGGGAAGTGTGGTCTGAGGGTGTGATGAGGTTGGATAGAGTAGTAGTGGTCTGGAAGAATGTTGCAGTCATAGGACCTGTGGAAGAGAGGCAGGACTGCTCTCTCTGTAGGTAGGAGTGTGGTGAAGGTTGTGGGTAGCCTGCTGCTGGTGGCGAGGTGGTGTGGGCCACAGGGGTGCTGGTTCCTGTAGTGGTGGGGGTGATGGTGGTAGAAGTTGGGGTGACTTCAGGGTGGTGTGGAAGAGGTGTGTGAATGTAGGGATGTAGAGGTTTTGGCTGTGCTGAATGAACTCGGAGCTTAGCTGGTCCCACTGGTGGTAGCTGTCATTGGTGGGGTTGTGTGCGTGGATGCTGTGACCTTGACTGTTGTCACTGGAGGAATGGTTCCTGTTGGCCCTGAGGGGATGGAGGAGGAAGTGAACACCTGTGCGTGGGTGGGGGTGATGACTGTGTGAGTAGTTGGAGTCACCAAGGAGGTGGAGAAAAAAAGTGGAAACGTGAGTGGGAAGTGTGGTCTGAGGAGTGTGATGGTGTTGGATAGAGTAGTGGTGGTCTGGAAGGATGTTGCAGTGACGAGACTTGTGGAAGGCGGGACTACTCTCTGTTGGTGTTAGGGAGTGTGGTGAAGGGTGTGGGTAGCCTGCTGCTGGTGGCTGAGGTGGTGTGGGCCACAGGAGTGCCAGTTCCTGTAGTGGTGGGATTGGGGGTGATGGTGGTAGAAGTTGGGGTGACTTGAGGATGGTGTGTGAAGAGTGGTGTGTAGATAGCAAAGTGTAGAGTTTTGTCATGCTGAATGGCTGTGGCGTGGCTGTTCCCACTGGTGGTTGCACCGATTATTTGTGGGGCTGTGTGGGTGGACCCTGTGGCCTTGACTGTTGTCAGTGGAGGAATGGTGCCTGTTGGCGTTGAGTGGATGGAGATAGAAGTGGACATCTGCGCGTGGGTAGGTGTGATGACTGTGAGTAGTTAGTCACCAAAGGAGGTGAAAGGTGGAAACGTGGTGAGGAAGTGTAGTCTGAGGTGTGATGGTGTTGGATAGGTAGTGGTGTTCTGGAAGAGTCTTGCAGTCATAGGACCTGTGGAAAGGCAGGAGTGCTCTCTGTGGGTGGGGAAGTGTGTGGTAAGGGTTGTGGGTAGCCTGCTGCTGGTGGCAGTGGTGTGGGCCTGAGGTACTGGTTCCTGTACTGGTGGAGTTGGGGAGTGATGGTGGTAGAAGTTAGGGTGACTTCAGGATGGTGTGTGGAAAAGTGTGTGAATATAGGGATGTAGAGGTTTTGGCTGTGCTGAATGAACTTGGGGCTTGGCTGTAGTCCTGTTAGTCACTGTCATTGGTAGGGCTGTGTGGGTGGACCCTGTAGCCTTGGCCGTTGTGGTGGAGGAATGGTGCCTGTTGGCGTTGAGTGGATGGAGGTAGAAGTAGACCTCTGTGCATGGGTAGGGGTGATGACTGTGTGAGTAGTTGAAGTCACGAAGGAAGTGGAGACAGGTGGAACGTGAGTGGGAAGTGTGGTCTGAGGGTGTGATGGGGTTGGATAGGTAGTGGTGATCTTGAAGGATGTTGCAGTCATAGGACCTGTGGAAGAGATGGGTGCTCTCTCCTGTAGGTGGGAGTGTAGTGAAGGTTGTGAGTAACCTGCTGCTGGTGGCCGAGGTGGTGGGGCCACAGGGGTGCGGTTCTGTACTGGTGGGTTTGGGGGTGATGGTGGTAGAAGTTGGGAGGTAACTGGGATGGTGTGTGGAAGAAGTTTGTGAATGTAGGGATGTGGAGGTTTTGGCTGTGCTGAATGAGTTCGGGGCTTGGCTTGTCCCACTGGTGGTAGCTGTCATTGGTGGGGCTGTGTGCGTGGATGTATGGCAGCTGTTGTCACTGGAGGAATGGTTCCTGTTGGCCCTGAGGAGATGGAGGAGAAGTGAACACCAGTGCGTGGGTAGGGAGTGATGACTGTGTGAGTAGTTGGAGTCACCAGGAGGTGGAGAAAGGTGGAATGTGAGTGGGAAGTGTGGTCTGAGGGTGTGATGGTGTTGGATAGGTAGTGGTGGTCTGGAAGGATGTTTGCGATAGGACCTGTGGAAGAGATCGGGAATGCTCCCTGTAGGTGGGGAGTGTGTGGTGAAGGGTGTAGGTGGCTTGCTACTGGTGGCTGAGGTGGTGTGGGCCACAGGGGTGCCGGTTCCTGTACTGGTGGGATTGGGGAGTGATAGTGGTAGAAGTTGGGGTAACTTCAGGATGTTGTGTGGAGGAGGTGTGTGAATGTAGGGATGTAGAGGTTTTGGCTGTGCTGAATGAGCTCAGGGCTTGGCTGGTCCCACTGGTGTTTGCTGTCGTTGGTGGGCTGTTAGGTGGACCCTGTGGCCTTGGCCGTTGTTGGTGGAGGAATGGTGCCTATTGGCACTGAGTGGATGGTGTAAAGTGGACATCTCTGCGCGTGGGTAGGTGATGACAGTGTGAGTAGTTGGAGTCACCAAGGGAGGTGGAGAAGGTGAATGTGAGTGGGAAGTGTGGTCTGAGGTGTGATGGGGTTGGATAGGTAGTGGTCTGGAAGGATGTTGCAGTCATAGGACCTGTGGAAGAGACAGGACTGCTCTCTGTGGAGTGGGAGTGTGTGTGGTGAAGGTTGTGGGTAGCTTGCTGCTGGTGGCGAGTGGTGTAGGCCCGCAGGGTGCTGGTGTGCTGGTGAGGTTGGGGGTGATGTGGTAGAGGTGGGGTGACTTCAGGATGGTGTGTGGAGGTGTGAATGTAGGGATGTAGAGGTTTTGGTTGTGCTGAATGTACTCGGGGCTTGGCTGGTCACTGGTAGTCACCCGTCATTGGTAGGGCTGTGTGGGTGGACCTGTAGCGCCCGGCCGTTGTTGGTGGAGAATGGTGCCTGTTGGCGTTGGTGGATGGAGGTAAGAAGTAGACCTCTGTGCATGGAGTACCAGGGAGTGATAGTGTGAGTAGTTAGAGTCACCAAGGAGGAGCTGGAGGAAAGGTGGGCGTGGTGGGAAGTGTGGTCTGAGGGGTGTGATGGGTTTGGATAGGTAGTGGTGATCTTGAGATGTTGCAGTCATAGGACCTGTGGAAGAGATGGAGTGCTCTCTGTAGGTGAAGAGTGTGTGGTGAAGGTTGTGGGTAGCCTGCTGCTGGTGGCCAAGGTGGTGTGGGCCACAGGGGTGCCGGTTCCTGTACTGGTGGGTTTGGGGGTGATGGTGGTAGAAGTTGGGGTAACTTCAGGATGGTGTGTGGAAGAAGTTTGTGAATGTAGGGATGTGCGTGGTTTGGCTGTGCTGAATGAGTTGAGGCTTGGCTTGTCCCACTGGTAGTAGCTGTCATTGGTGGGGCTGTGCGTGGATGCTGTGGCCTTGACTGTTGTCACTGGAGGAGTAGTTCC